ATAAGAAGTATCAAGATTATTTTATTTTATCAAATAACCAATGAAAACATAGAAATAAACAAAAATTCCTGCGACTGTTGAAAAAGCAAATGTGGCAAATAATTTGGGACGGAGGGAGTATTAACATCTTTATTCAAGTGTATTTGCCTAATTTAACTTTTTTTAATTTAAGTATATAATTTTAAAACTCAATTAAATAGATGTACAATGTGTATTAGTACAAAAATAATTTTATTAAATTTCACTGTTTGGAATTTTTAAATTTTTTTTTGACAAATTTTATTTCACTGTAGTAATATGTGTAGTAATATGCAGTACAAATTGAGATTAGTTGAAGTTCAAAGTTTATCCAATTTGCTTTAAAATAGTTCAGTTAGACGTATACATTCAGACGAATCCCAGAGGTAATATATGGTATATCACTTAAATAAAATAATGTTTTGAAAAATAAATAAATAACTTTAATATTTTGACTAATAGATAGTCACTATCCTCCAAGCTGATTCTCTAATTTTTTATTCCTACGTACGTGAAGTCAAAGACTATACGGGGCTCACTTGAAATTTGGGTGATAATATATATCTAACACTTGAGTTCATTTATAGACTATCATGCATAAACATAGTCATACAATATCTAAGAAATCAACAAGTATCATCAATCGATGGGGTTCTAGTGATTCTGGAGTACGGTAACACTTCGGCGTCACTGTCATTTTGAGGTATTTTTGGTGCTCCAAAAATACAGTGTCACAGTACTCAAATGTCACTAGAACTCCAATGTTATTCTTAACTACACCCATCATTTGTTCACTTCGAGTCTTGCATATTCTTAACTACACCTATCCTACTATATGCCACATTAATTCTATGGAAGTTGTAGAATCCAAACTCTCACCAAGACTTATGCATATGAGCTCAAGCTCCAAAGATCTCTCAAAGGTTTTAGTCATTCTCTGTGTTACTTTTAATCACCTTTTTACTTTTATTAAACTTTGTATTCAGTCGAATTGAAGCCTCGTTTTAGAAGAGATGGAATATTTATTTAATTTGTTGTCAAAATTTGCAAATTCATGGAAAAAAGTAAACAAGAAATTAAAAACATAAGTTATGTACTCTCTCCGTCCGAAATATTCTTCCCATTTAATTTTTTACGATTTTCAAGACTGCACTTTGACCACTAATATCTTTATTTATATATAGATATATTTAATAAAAATTTTATATTTGAAAACTATATTTCAAATTGAATATATTCATATTAAAATTATATCGTAGTACAATACATTTCTCTCACATATCATAATCAAAGTTTACAAATTTTGATCAAGAAAAATCAAATGGGAAGAACATTTTCAGACGAAGAGTAGTAAATAATATTTGAAATCATCACTTATAATCATGTTATTGTTTTTTTTACAACTTTTTTACCCTAACGGCTAAAGTTCACAAATTATCACTATATAAGGTGATAAAAACACTAAAATTGTTGTCGAACATATGCTTAACGCTTAATTTTGTACCCCAAACATTTAAAAATCACTCAAATAAACAGCAATTTGTTGCACAAAAAGAATCAAATCTATTAATCCCTTTTACTCAATAGATAGAGATGGCACCCACATTCAATTAACACAAGATATTACAATCTTAAACAGTCAAAGAGCTAAGAGTACAAATATTTCACATTCGCCCACTCTCGGGCCGAGTCGGGTCGGGTCTAAACGTGAACAAGCGGGCCCATCTGGACGTACTCAGTGAAGGCCAACGCGACGAGGCCCAACATAGCCATCCGCCCGTTCCAGATCTCGGCGTCGGCGCTCATCAGCCCCGCCGACTTCGACTCCGCCGTCACCCCCTGGAACAGCGGCACCAGCGACGCCAGCGTCAGCACCACGCTCGTCCCCACGAACCACCCCACGCCGCCGTTCGAGATCTGGTTCAGCAGGTCCCCCCCGTTCGCCAGCTCCGCCCCGATCGCCGCCACGAACCCCACCATCGCCAGCCTCCCGTTGATCCTCTCCGGCCCCGGCCCGCTGAACGAGAACACCTTCCTCAGATCGGCCCCCGATTTCTTCGCCGGAGGCGGTGGGGTAGATCTCGGTGCCGACGGCGGCACGCCTGATTTCTCCGAATCCTGAAACGTTAAAAGCTCATGGATCGTGTAAATTGAAGAAATGTGCAGCGGGGATTATTAACCAAAAAGAATTATCATTATTATTATTATTATTACCTCAGAAATGCTCCTGACGAGGAGATTCGATTTCCTCTGAGAGATGTGTGGAAGAAGAGAACGATTGTTGAGCCCGTTTCGGAAGCCCAATGGGCTTCCGAGGATGGATTGGATCGCAACGCAGGAAGAAGCCATGGAAATAGCTTGGATTATGGATCTGAAAGGGGAAAAGGGACTGGAAATCAATGTAGTTAGATTTAATTTGGATTGGCTGGAGGTTGAAGACGGGTAGATATAGGGGGGAAAGGGGGAGGAAATCGGTGGGTGAATATGAATCCACGTAGAGAGGTTCTGGGCCGCGAAAGAGGCGAGTGGACTGAAGGTGGAAGTGTGGGGGGGACAAGGGAATCGGCAGGTCGACGTGGCGGCCTTGTGTCCGAGATTGAGAATCTCTGGTGGAACTCCGTGGAATCTTTTTCTCACACAAGATGGAAATTTTAGCCATCCCTCAAACTCACCGAAGGCTTTCCATACATTCAATTTTACTCCCATTAGTCCATTGTCCTTATTCGCAAATTATACGGTACGAACGGTTGTACGGTATTTCCAGTACAATCGGCAATTAGATCGAAGAAAGGAGATGCACACCAACAAAGAGGAGGCCGATGAAAGGGAGACCGGCAATTGAATTGAGGGGGAGGTCGACGCAGAGCCTATGAAGTGAAGCACACATTGATCAATAGTGGCAGCGATGCGAGCAAACGCTAATTGCGGCGGCATCGATGGTGATGGGGAGGCTGGTGCAAAACCTGCGACGATTTGTAGCATTGCTATGTGATGGGATGCCATGAAGACGATGAATTTTGAGTACTTAAGTTAAGAACTTGCGGAACATAAAAATAAAATATGGAGAAAATATGAAAATATAAGCTACGTGTCTTTTCCTCTAAATAGAAGATCTTATTGTACTAATGTGAAATTGTATATGTACATTTCATAATACTTTCTATTAATGTATATAGTCATTGTTGGCACTGTAAATGTATTTTAACTCCTATTTAGGAATGGAATAAATAAAATTCTTATTTTGGTATATATTTTGAATATTTTACTCATAATTTAGTTTATTTCCCATTTAAGTTAATAAGATTATTGAATTATATTTTCTGAACCTGAAGATAATGAACAGTACACTATTTTAGAATTAGCACTACTTTGTTTCAAAATTAACACTACGTTATTTGTAATTTAATATTATAATTGGATTCAACAATTGTGTGAAAATGAGTAATACGTTATTTCAGAATGATACTACATTATTTCAAAATTAACATTTATGTTTTGTGCGAGAAAAACTACTACTTCGCTGCAAAATGATTACTACCCAGTTATATCTTATTTCTAGTACAGACGACTGTACCATATACGGACTTGTACTTTTCGAACAATATAATCTTTCTATATAAGATTCAAAAAAAAGGACTCTGAATAAAAAATGTGTGATGTGAGGAGGGGCGGTGGACAACTTAGGTACATTTTATATACCCATAACATTACTGGTTTAATTCTAATCACATTTATGATGTGCATAATCTAACCAATTTATTAATAATATTTTTTAGTATTGTTTAAAATTAAATATTGAAATAAATGTTTTAGCATTTGGTTTGCACCATATTGTATACATACAAGTTGGGAATTGTTTTTTCCACTAATGTATATTTTAACCTTTGATTTACACTATCCAGTAGAGGATTAAAAAAATGAATAGTATATTCAATATAGTGTAAATTTTACCATATACACTATGGATTGGAGATGCTCTTAGAGCATCTACAATGAAAAGTGTAAAAATAGGTAGAGTATATTTAATTTTACACTACCAATAGTGTTTTACACATCTACTTTTTGATATCCACCTCAATCATATCTTCTATATTATACTTTTTAAATTTTACACTACCAATAGTGTTTTACACATTTATTTTTTGTAATTATTTATTTGTGACAATATTTATAGTTTTTAAATTTTAATGACACATATACTTTAAACTATATTATAGAGTATTAAGAAACATGAAATAAATAAATTAGTGAATTAAAATGTAATTAAAAAATCAATACATACTAAAAGATTTGAGTAAAAAAATTATTTAGAAAAGTATAAAAGTAATTGAAAGAGTAATAATAATTTACTAATGGTTAGATATTTTTAATAAATTATCTAACCAAAGTGTATATACAAAAGTGTATATACACTTTGGACTATAATGCAATTTTTACAGAGTAGTGTAAAATGTATATATTGTAGTATATGAAGTATATATTTAACAATATACTTTTTACATTCTTCAATGGAGATGCTCTTACAGTCTTACTACTTAAATTTATCTCCATGACACTATCTCTACCCCTTGGTTTTTTTTGGGGCCATCTCTGGACTCTTGGTTAAAGAGAGAATATTACTCCAAAGGGTTTTTGTAGGTGTTTAGATATATTGCCTTAACATCCAATAATCAAATGGGCTTCGTGACATGTATGAAGGCAAAATATATTGGGTTCAGGTCCGTTTCTAAAAGCTTGTTTACCATTATAATGAGCACTCTTTATAAAAGTTTTCTTCCAGAAATATTCCCAAAAACTCCTCCCTCCTTCCATGAACATAGACATAGCCCAGGGGCCTGGAAGGCACTCCCAAAGGAAAAAAAATGGATTTGGCCCCCGGCCCATCAAAGCTAGGGTTAGTTTCTCAGATATTCAAACACATTTCAAACAATTTGCAAAGAAATTGAAGAACAAAAACCCACCAAATAAAAACGCTCAATCAAATCAATTCATGCGCAAATCGACACTCTGCAGAAGATACTATAAGATTTTATCTCAATTTCACATAGCATCAATGGATTCATAGCATGGGTAACCAAAACAGCAAATTCCACTGGCTTGTAGTTGCAGAAACAGGCGAAGAAGATGAAACAGCAGAGCTGGAAAAGAAGATAATCTCTATTTTACATAAATATAGATCGGGAGAAACCCTAAAACTCCTGAGACAAAGATCCGATTTCTCCCTTGCCACCAGTCTTCTTAGGCAACAGAGTCTGATGGATGTTTGGCAACACACCTCCATTGGCAATCGTCACGTTCCCCAGAAGCTTGCTCAGTTCTTCATCGTTCCTCACTGCCAACTGAATGTGCCTCGGGACAATCCGAGTCTTCTTGTTGTCCCTTGCCGCATTCCCAGCCAATTCCAAAACCTGGGTCATCACAAACGAGAAGATCGAATTCGGAAAACATGATTCAATCTCGAGATCTACCGGAACAGTTAAATCATTCGACTCCAATCAGACCTGAAATAGCCAGATCAGAGTCGATTTCCTGGAAATTGACGAATTGATCGATCTAAACTAAGGAACAGCTGATTACCTCGGCGGCGAGATACTCCAGAACGGCGCAGAGATAAACCGGAGCGCCGGCGCCGACTCGCTCGGCATACTTTCCAGATTTGAGGAATCGGGCAACCCTACCGACGGGGAACTGGAGGCCGGCCTTCGATGATCGGGACACAGACTTCGAAGCCTTCGGCTTGCCTCTGCCGGAGCCGGCGGTTCCTTTGCCTCCGCTTGAACTCATCTTCTAGTAGAAAACCCTAACGAAAAATCGGAAGCCGCTGAAAACCTTTGAAAATGGACTTCTTCTGTATTTCGAGAGACTGAGGAAAAAGATAGGAGAGAACGGTATATATAGCAGATGCGGGTATGCTGTGATTGGTGGAGAGGTTGGCACAAGGATTGCCAGCGTGGCAACATGCCCCGAAATTTCTTGAGGCGCCACTCATTTTCCCTCTATTTGAAAACTACCCGGAGTTTAAAACTATACACATTTGGCTTGGAGGCAATTTTAATTTTTTTTACGATTAATTTATTCAAATCTAACCGGTCTAATTAATTACGAGTAAATTTCTTTTTCTGATATACGGAGTACTCCGTATTCGACAGTTTTTTTACATTCTCCCTATTAAATACTCTCTCCGTTTGGAAAAACTCTTCCCATTTGATTTGGGGCAAAAATAAAAAAGTGTTAAATTATACTCCCTCCGTCCCAAAAAGAATGGGACGGTTTGACTTTTTGAGAAATTAAGGGAGGGATGTTTTGGTATTGACTTTCCAAAAATACCCTTGATGTGATGGGTAAAAGTAGGATGTGATGGGTAGATTGTTAGAAAAGGTATGGTGTGATAGGTAGGGTATGAAAAAAGTAAGGGGTAAAAGTGGTTTTTTAATAGAAATGTAATGGACTTTATGGGACGCAGTTTTTTCTAAACGTAACAAACTTTTTGGGACGGAGGGAGTAGTTGATTTTCAATTTTTCCCCTGATGTGATGGATAAAAGTAAGATGTGATAGATAGATTATTAGAGAAAAAGTATGATGTGATAGGTAGGGTATGAAAAAGTAAGGGTAAAAGTGGTTTTTTAATAAAAAGGGGAATTTTGTTGGAAGTGGAAAAAATGAAAAAGAAAGTGTTTTTGAGAACGGAGGGAGTAATGATTTTAAATCGTTTCAAATAAAATTGTTTCAAAATTCAAAATTTATACTTGCTCCGTCTCGGAGTATTCGTCCAGTTTTGACTTTTGGAACTGTTCATCTAAGCACTTTGACTCATCAAATTTTTTCAATATGTAAGCCTAAATATAGTCATGTGTGATCTTGTTTGATTTGTCTTAACATATAGATGATTAATTTATAATTTCTATAATTTTTTAATATACAAATTACAAGATAAAATGAATTAAAGAAGTGTATTGGATGGTGTGTAAAAATGAAAGTGGACAAATACTCTGGAATGGAGGTAGTATGATTTTTTTAAATTTTAAAAATTCATATTTTATCGTACTTACAAATTTAACCAAACGGACCCTTAGAATTTTAATGAAAATAGTAAATATTTCTAATGTGTTAGGGCACTGGTAATGGGCATCATGCCCGGGCATTATTGCTCCTTTTAACGCCAAAGGGGCAGCAAACACCGCCTTCTTTGGGGCTTCATAAAGGCTTCATCCCCTGTGCTTCAAATATTTAACAGGCTTCAAACCTTACATTCTCTCTTTTTCAAAAAAACATATACAAGCATAATTTTTTTCACTCTATATTTTTTTTGTTTAATGTAATACTTCCTCTGTTTTCAAAAACTCTTCTTCTTTCATTTTTTTACTTCTAACAAAACACTTCCACTTTCTATTAAAAAACCACTTTTACCCTTACTTTTTCATATCCTACCTATCACATCATACTTTTTCTCTAATAGTCTAATACTCAATCCATCACATCTTACTTTTACCCATCACATCAAAGACAAAATTGGAAGTCAACTACAATTTAACACTTTCTTATTTTTACACAAAGTCAAAATAGGAACACTTTTATAGAACGGAGGGAGTATTTTTTTTGTTTAAATTTTTTTTAGTAATGTAATTTTTTTTGTTTTTTTTAATTTAACATGTTATTTTTATTGACTGTATTTTTTATTTTATGATTTATGTAAGTTTGCAATATGTTACTACAACTCAGATTTGAATGAAGATGGGTAAGTTTGCAATATGTTTACTACAACATGTTATCTTCACCTACTCAATTACCAATACGGCACCACTACATTGCCAATGCCTAGGGGTGTTCATTTGGTAAAACCGAATCGAACTGAAAATTCGGTAAACCGAAATTTCGGTAATTTATTTTTTGTACCAAATACTGAACCGAAATCAAATGGTTCGGTTCGGTAAAAACCAAATTAAATCGGTTTGGTAATCAGTTTTACCAAAAACCGAACATAAACCAAAATTTGAACTTTAAAAAATCCATTTCATTCTCCAAATTGAAAATAACAAAGCATAATCCGTTATATATAAGTTCATTACACATTCCAAAATTAAAATAACGCAACACAATTAGAACCATTACATAAATTAAACAAAATAGTCGATACAAATAACATAATTGTCCATTGCGAAATATAAAGACATTTACCAGTATTATTATTTTGATGCTTTCATGATTTCTAATCTTAAATAACTCCAAATTTCGATTATAGAACTTAAAATTAGTGGGGTGGATATTCATTATTTCAATATTGGGATAGATATTAGGTATTAAATTGAGTAGCAATGGGTAAAATTATACATAAGTATTAAATAATTTCGGTATTCGGTTTTTACCGAAATACCGGTTTCAAATTTTGTACCGAACCGAAAACCGACTTTTTCAAAATATGAGAACCGAATACCGAACCGAATTATTTGGTTCGGTTTTTGTACGTACCAAATTTTTCGGTTTCGGTTCGGTCGGTTTACCAAATTGTGCACACCCCTACCAACGCCCCATTAATTCCATTGATTCTCCCAACACCACCCACTAGGATATCATCCCCTCCACATTCGATCTTTATCTTCTAAATTTCATTTCCATTCCTTATCTCAACACCACTGTCCAATCTTAGAGTATGAACCCTAGAATGGAATTATCTTTGGAAATAGTAAGTGAGTACAATTTCACTTTGCATCTGGAACACACAGATCTAACCATACTAGAGTAGAAGCCACAACCATTGATTTCGACCAGTCACCCTCTGGTGATGATGGCAGAATCTAGTGCTCTTCGATCCGAGTCTTCAGTTTCTTACTAGCCAGTATCTGATGACAGTGACGGTGACGAAATCGAGGGTATGTCTTAGTATGAGGAGTGGAATGGCAAAAAAGCTTCCATTGAGGCTGTTTCAATTGCACGTCAATGGCGGAGAGCTCTCTCGTTTTGGGCTCTAATGAAGGTTTTGGAGGAGATTGATGAATGGTGATGCTTTTAATCACTGTCCTTTACGAAACAAATTAAAATAAAATGCTTCGTAATGTTTACTTGTGCTACTTTATGCCCCACGGATTGTTCACCAAAGGGTATTTGAGACGTTTTCATCTACTTTTAGTTGTGTTTTGGTATTCGAACCAAATAGAAAGTGGACAAAAAGAATGGGAGGGAGGGAGTAACATTTACAATGAGGGCAGACTCTCGATCACCCCGTCTATCTCCCTGAATCATCAGTGTTCTCCATTTCTTTGCCACCAGACCAAAGCATTAGCAATATTGCTACCCTCTCGTCACACCTCTCCATTTATTTAACATCATTCATCATTTTAAATAAAAAGTTACATAAATAAATCTAAAATACAAAATGTTAACAACACTTTTTATTATAAATAATAAACAAAGCACATATAAATAAATAATAAAAGTGGATGCGTTCTCATCATTTGCAAAACGAGTGACGTTGTCTCTATCATCGTCAACTATCATGTTATGCAATATAACACACGCAAACATTATATCCACGATGAACGATCGCACTACAAGCCTACGGGGCCTTTCACTATCGCCCATTGGGATTGGAAAACTCCAATCGTAGGCTTTAGCCTTTTTGTTTCGACTTCTGTTTTTAAGGGAACAATGTCATTTTTGAATTTGTCGATAGGCGATAGTGTTTACAAACACTAGCCCCATTGATAGATCTAATCCGTTAAATAATATCCCATGTTATATTAGAGATCGTTTGCGGTGAATTGAATGACTATCACACATCTAACGCACACATCGTTGGATAAAAGAGAGTCATTCAACACGTTCAGATCTTCGTTCGACCCAACGAGTCCAAAATACGCATTCTAAATCCATAGACGATGGTTAGCAATGACCTCGAGCATAATCAACGAGTGTGAGCCCTTATAACAATTTGTGGAATCTTATATAGGACTATTAAGAAGTTAATTCAGGTAAACTTAATTAGGTTAAGAAATATTGGATGAGCTTGAGTAAATGCCTAAATTGGATGCTGGGTTGGATGTCAAAAATATCATTAATATGTTTGGCCAACCTTAAATAAATTAACAATCTCCATCTTTAGCCCAAAGTCATTCACATAGTTGACAAAGAACCACAGGACTGGTCATAGCCTTAATTTTCACTACATGTGCAACCAATGGATGAAGAACACAAGTAATGAATGAAAATACACGAAGTAAACTTGAGTCATGAGGACTAAGACACAGTCACAAAGCATGCCAAAACCCACAAAGAGACGAACTCTACCATCGGGTCCTCAAAAACGAAATCACAAAGACAAAAAATAAACGAATGGAAAAATGAACCACAGAAACATCAACACACAATCACAAAGATAGGTTTAAGATCTCTTGACATAAGGTAAATTTTTTTCTACAGGTAAACACTAAGTACCCATGTCAGCTAGATAAGACTCCGTACTTCGTAGGGCATTGATCTCCTCTTGCACCGTTGTTGGCCAATCAGGGTACGTGTTAAACTACCTCTGAGAAAAAATGAGTTCCCCATCTACGCTATTTGATACCATAAAATATACATACATGCGATAAACAAAAGTCATTACAATTAACAAATTAAATTCAGTTATGCAATTACCTATACTTAAAGAAAGAAATATTTGCACTAAATAGCACTAAAATTTAAGTCATTTCTCTAAATAGCACTTAAATTATTTTATTCCTAAATAGCACTTAATAATGTCCAGAAGGAGAAATAATGACCATTGATGATGAACATTTATTTGAATAATGACCAATGGATAATGACTAAAAGTGCTACATTGAGAAAATAAAACACATATGATGCTATTTAGAAAAAGTCATTATATTTTAGTGCTATTTAGGTAAATTTCCCTTTAAAAAAGATAAGAGATGTAATGAGGAAACCTCCAACCGAAGAAACAAATGTTGGACCCCATACACCATATCGTATTAAATTAATTAATAGGCACATCATCTTTGTATTCTGATAACTCATCATTTAACAAGAAATCAAAATCACATCATCTCAATTAAAACAAACATCATCCATGATAATAATTTTTTGAATGGTGAGTATTACATCAGTATATATAGAGAATACACAGAGAATTATAACCAAAAGTAAAATAAGGAATTATGCTGAAATAGAAAAAAACTACGGGTAAATAAGAAATCAAGAAATCAAAATCACCTCATCTAAAATATAATACTCCTGCAGGTGAGTGTTGCACTACTTGAAAAGGCAGGAATGTCAAGGGGGTAGACCTTAGATTCCTGGCAACTGTGATTCGAGATTATTACATTAAGCATATGGTCTATGCAAATACCATATACTTTCTACCATCAATTTGCAATCAAAGTTTAATTTACTTTTTATCAGTGACCGTTCGACCGGGTCTGAAGGGGCCATTGCGGACAAGTCACGACTCGTCCCTTAATATAATACTCCTAACATGTATGGTCATGAAATATACTATTACCTACCTCAGAGCACAAACCCTAGCATCCTTGTACACTTTTCCTGGTTGACAATAATACCCTTTGCTTGGAGCACAATGAGAGTCTTGTGAGCAAATACACAATCCTTCCAAAGAACAACCATCCTTTGCAATCACCAATCCTTTCTTAAGACCTAAAACTTGATCCGTCCAATCACTTGAGAACAATCCTTTAGGGTCATATTTGTCCTTAACTTTCAAGAACTCATCAAACATTGTATACTTCTTTATTGCCCCTAAGAAGGCCACATTTCTGTTCTTCCCCCAATGTGGCAAGGCCTTGTACTTGAAAATTGCGAGCTGTTCAATTTCTTCTAGGAAGTCTTGATAAAGTCTAGGAGTTTTTGGGTCTTTGCTCCGGTAGTAAGTAATGTCAAAGTCTATCGAGTCGTCTTGTTTCCCTAAATATGCACTCGAGGATGTGACATATCTCATGAGTATGCCATCATACAACCCCACACCGCACAATGCTTTTGGGTCCAAATTCACCAAGTCTTGTACCTCTTCTATGAAACCTTTCACCTTGGAGAGACTAATGCTAAATGTTGTTTGGTGAAAGAATAACCCCTTAACTCTAGGGTCCCATGGACAAGCGGTTAGCAATTCATTGTATGAGCTGTCTAGACAAGTGCCGGATGATTGAAGCCGATTTTGGTATCCAATTATAGGGTACCCGGTAAAGATGACACCTGTTTATGTGTGTAAAGACGATCAAGATACAGTTGATAATGGTGAATAATGATGTACAACAAGTTAACTTAAAGCAATGTCTGCTGCTGTATATAGATAAAAAAAATATTACCATTGTTAGTAAATCCATATCCAGCAGCTTTTAAAATGAACTTAGATGTATCTGCAAGTATGCACTTCCCGTTGGCATAATTGAGTGCTTCCATACTTTCCTCTACACAAAAACACTTAATTTAGTTAATTATATGAGTGGACAATAAATCTAAATTTACATGCGGAATTTAAGAGGATAGATTAATTTAAGATAAGTGTTAATGATAAATACTTCCTCCGTTCCACAAAACTCTTCCTCTTTCGTTTTTTTTGTTTTCCACAAAACACTTCCACTTTCTATTAAAAAACCACTTTTACCCCTACTTTTTTCATACCCTACTTATCAGTTATCACATCATACTTTTTTCCACTAATAACCAAACTATCACATCTTACTTTTTCCCATCACATCAGGGGTAAAATTGGAAAGTAAACCAAAATTACATTTTCCTTATTTTCGCCTAAAGTCAAAATGGGAATGGTTTTGTGGGACGGAGAGAGTATATACCTGCAGTTCTCACGAGGCCTAACACAAGTGAAGGAATGGGTCGAAATCCCAAGAAATTATTGAGACCTCTAGAGGGCGCGTTTGTCTCGACCCGATTATCAATGCGCTTCACTACTCGTCTCTGGCTAGGAAACCAAGCCATGTCTCCAAATTCGTGTTGGGAACCAAACACGGTCGCGTCCTCCCCCAAGTCTCCGTCATCCTCCTCAGCGTACGTCATGGCCCGTTTAAACATCGGTTCCAATTTCAGGGTCACCTTCAATGTTATAATGGAGAAATCATTTATTAATGTCTTGTTCAATATACGGAGTATACCTTTAAGAACTACTCCGTACTAAAAAGTACTCCCTCCGTTTCAAAAATAATGTTGCATTTCTTTTTTTGCACATCCCATAAAACACTTTTATATCGTCTCAAAGACCAAAAAACTTTCAAAAGAATTTCTATCCACAATAAAAGGTACGTAAATGTGATAAATTTTAAGCATTTTACATTTGGATAGAAGTATTTTATGAGATACGCAAAAAATTGAAACGTAACCTTTTTTTGAGGCGGATGGAGTATGCGATTATTGTTAGCAAATGTAGTTAGGTTTGGTATTAATGAGCCTATTAATACTAAACCTTTCCCCTAACATTTTCGAGTGTGAGATTGATATCTAACTTTATTTTCTATACCTTATACTCTCTCCGTTTTCAAAAAAAGATTCCTAGCTTGACCAAGTGTAAAAAAAGAAAGTGTTAAATTGTAGTTGACTTTCAATTTTGTCCTTGATGTAATGAGTAAAAGTAAGATGTCATGAGTAGATTATTAAAGAAAAGTATGATGTGATAATTAAGATATGAAAAAGTAAAGGTAAACGTGATTTTTTAATGAAAAATGGGAGTCTATGTTTTATTGAAAGTAGAAAAAATGAAAGAGAAAGTATATGTAAATTTATGTATTAGCGCATGCATTATAAAATTTTATTCTCCATATTTTATAAGCCTAATTATTTTTCTAGCACATGACCTCAAAAATGTGGGAGCTGGCCATGGGAAAACATGCATGCATGAGCTGGTCATAGATGGAGGTAACATAGTTTTATGGTTTGAACAGTAAATAAAAAGATTACTCCGTATTTAGGAGCCAACATAGTAGTAAGTAGTAACGTGCCTGTGAAATGACTCCAAGGACGCCTAGGGAAACCCTAGCTGCATTGATCTCCGGGTCATCTTCCTCGAGTTGCCGGGCGGTGGCATAGCCCTCCTCCGGCGACGCGGGAGTCACAATCCGAACCCGGACAACGAAATCATGAACGGCGGTCCCCGCCGAGCGCCATAACGAGCTCCCATGAGCTCCCGTGGCCATCATCCCTCCCACCGTCAACCCCCACCAATACGGCGTGTAGGGCAACGCCATCCCCGCCTCCGCCGCGTCGTTGATCAGTTGCCGGAGACTCACTCCGCTCTCCACCGTCACCGTCATGCTCCGGTTGTCAACTTTCAACGTGCGGTTCAGGTGCATTGTGCTGATGATGAGACCGTCGCCTCCGCCGCTGCCAGGGCACGCCAGCTTGGTGATGCTGCTGGAGAACCGGGTGGCGGCTTTCATCTTCTGGTTCTCCTTGGTGGCGGCGGCGATGACAGCGACCAGCTCCTCCTCTGTTCTGGGATAAGCAGCTTTGGCTGCGCGGCATATGCTACGATCTGGGAAAGTACCGTAGGAGTTAGTGATGGTGCAATTTATATTAGTTGTGTGATTGGTGCATTTCATGGAGTCATTTGGTGGGGTGGAATGAACATGTGACAATATTATCATGAAGAAAATATGCATAAGAATGGCTCATATTGCTAGATAGCCCATCTCTTTTATTATCTCTTTTTGTTATGTTCTTATTTATAGAAGTATTATGATATGTAGTAGATATAATACGGAGTATAATTGTTGGAGTTTCGGATATGATTATGTTTTATGACTTAATTGTCGTTACTTTTTGCATTTTTCCTCGAAGCTTCAAGTTATGTTTATTTGTCAAAAGTACACATTGGACTTCTCTTGTCTTCTTTGGACTAAGTTGTTATTGAGATTTTTTAAAATTTTATTTTATCATATTAATAAACAATACAAATTGAGAGAATTTGAAACTCAAAATTTATCCAGCTTGATTTGAAAAAAGTTAAACAGAACTAATACATTGAGACAGAGACAGTGCATAAAATTATTATTTGGCCTCATGTGATATGGTGATCACATAGGAATCTCTTTTAATTAATTTTGGTGAAAGAATGTTAAAGTTGTATTTTAATTTTAGGGCAATGCTAGGGGTACACCAACATGGGGTACCCTAAATGTACACCGTACCAAGCTAACACAGACACACACAGACACAAAATGTCTGTGCAACACAGACATTTTGTGTCTGTGTGTGTCTGTGTTGGCTTTGGTGTACACTTGGGGTACCCCATGTTGGTGTACCCCTAGCTTAATTCTTAATTTTATGATAGCTTTTAAAATTTATATACCGAAGTGAAATAATACTTAAAGTTCGTATACTTAGATATAGGTATGCACCCCTTTTGGCCCTTCAAAAATATTTGGAGGAAGAATTTAACAAAATTTGTACACCAAGTTTCTCACAAACAAATACAAACAATTAATGTCGGTGTGTTTTTGAGATGTTTGGTGTTGAAGTAGTGTAAATTTTGAGTGTCCCTTTGTACTACTTTTACAATTACACTATTTTGATAACTTTTTTCTGTTTGTATTTTTCATTGATCATTTGATAAAATAAAATATTCTTATCAATTTTGGTTTCGTAGAAATTTTGAAGTAATTTTAAATTTGTAAATTTTATTTTTATAAAAAATTGTAAATAAAACCATACTTTCTTCGTCTAAATTTTTTTTACACTTTACACAAAACGAAGTAAAATTTTATGTTTTTAAATAAACAAAAGTTTCTCTAACTTTTAATTTAAAAAAATAATAATTCTTTTTGAGACATGAGGAGCATTAAGAATCACAACATTCTACATTTTGTTCGAATATGGTAAATTATTTTTGGGGAGAGAAAGTAATTCTTCGGCCCTTTGCAATTTTCCACACGCAATAATAAGACGACATAAGTTTCGACTTTTGATTTTTTAAAGGGCGTACTTTGAATTTTGAATGACACGCTATCAACAAATTATTTGTAAAATAGTGCTTTGAATGTAGAGAAATTTACTTAAATAAGACTAAAAGATAATGACTTTCTCAATATAAGATTATATGTTTTTATTTTCTAATGTAGGACCATTAGTCACTATCAATTAATCATTATTCAACTAAATGTACAGCATCACTTGGATATTTTTTCATTAAAAAAAGAAAATATGGGTCAAATTGATCGTTACTCCGTGGTGAATACACAGAGTAAAAAGTCTGTCTTTTAGAGCTTGAATTTTTCATTTCTGATTTCTTTCCAATTTCTTCCGGTTCTTTCAGTTCCTTTCATTTTTTTCAGTTCCTTCAAGTTTTTTTCAGTTTCTTCCCGTTTCTTCGAACTATTTTTATTTTCTTGAAACTTTTTCTACTTTCCGACAAATCACTCTAAAAACAATATATTATTATTATTATTATTATTACAACTATTATGTTCATAACTATAGTTTATAAATTATTTCATTTTTTTCATCTCACTATTTTTATTATTCACTCATTATTATTTTTTCTTCAACTTTTTAATATGAACAATACCACTTTTTAAACTATGAATAATACCATTTTTTTGTATTCACTCATAGAATGTTTTTTAGTAAAAAAATGTTAAGGGTACACAGGTGTACCCCATTTGTCCTCCACCCCTTCCATCACCACACAAAAAGGCAAGAAACTAAAACAAAATTAAATAAATAAAAATAAAATAAAATTGAATGGTGGATAAAGGGGTGGGGGACAAATGGGGTACACCTTGTGTACCCCTAGCATTGCTCTTTTTAGTATTGTAAAAACTATACTCCGTATTTAGTATCTTCAATTAAGCTTAACAGAATTGTAGAATATTAACTGATATTTTATCTCTAAACTGCTTCATTGCATCTTTAGTTTGTTCATCAAACAACATCACCTTCGGCCTATCTTCCGTTGTTTGATGCCTCGGTGAAATTGGCATTCCTTTTCGATGAAGAAGATTGAAATTGTGCAAAGTGTGTGTTGCAATAACAATTTAAATTTGGTGCTCCTGTTTCATTTGAGGCATCCTAAGCTATTGTGCAAAAGTAGTTTTTTTTTTGTGTATGAAAAATAACATTATTTTTTAAAGACATTCATTAAGATAACGTGATGGCAACAACGGCAACAACAATAGTAGTAGTAGTAGTAATAATAATAATAATAATAATAATAATAATAATTTGTAACAATAAAAATTAGAATGAGAATAATATAAAAATACATACAAAAAATTAAAGTTTTTTTAGATTTTCTAATTTTTTCTAGCTTTTTCAGTTTCTTTAGATTTTTTTCTATTTCTTCCCGTTTCTACCAGTTCTTTCCAGTTTCTTCTACTTCTTTCTAGTTTCTTTCAGTTCCTTCCAGTTTCTTCCAGTTTCTTCCAACATCTAGCTCTTTTTTTCAAGTTCTAAAGAACATGCTCTAAGCGATATTTAAAGAATGTTTCAGAGTGGTTAACTTGCGGGTAAAGTATTTTTTACAAAAGCTGAAATCAGAAGCAGCATATATCTGCTTCTCCGAAATGATGTTCTATATGTACAAAATGATAGTAAAGAAAAACAGAAGTTGGTATGCTAAACAGAATAAAATAACTAAGCAAAAGTTAAATTCTGCACTGCAGTGCGAAACCGACTCTTAGTATTTACTTCCAATGGGATTTCGTCATTTTTAAAGGAGGTTGATTATGATCTTAATTTATCTAAAATGCTCCGACTAAAAAATGCTTCGATATAAGAAATAAAAAGTTTAAATCGAAATGAAGGGAAAAAAGGTATTTCTTGCTCAAATATAGATGCGTATGAGAAACAAGAATATATTAAATCCAGACAAAAAAATTTAAGGAGAAACGAGAAGATTAAATCTATACAAAAGAGTATTATTTAATACTCCCTCCGTCCTTAAATAAAGTTTCATTTTTGACTTTTTGAGGATTTAAGGGAGGGATATTTTGGTGTTGACTTTCCAAAAATACCCTTGATGTGATGTGTTAAAGTAAGATGTGATCGGTAGATTATTAGTAAAAAAGTATGATGTGATAGGTAGGCTATGAAAAAGTAAGAGGTTTTCTAAAAACATGGGATGTTTTGATTTTGAAGAAATTTAAGGAGAGTGTATTTTGGTATTGAAATTCCAAAAATGTCCTTTGATGTGATGGGTAAAAGAAGATTTGATGGATATGTTATTAGTAAAAAGGTATGATGTGATGAGTAGTGTATGAAAAGGTAAAGAGTAAAAATAAATTTTTAATAAAAATAAGACGTATTTTTTGGGACAAATGAAAAAAGAAACATCTCATATTTTTTGGACTGGAGGAAGTATTAAAATGTTAGTAGATGTTTTTGGTGACACTAAAAATCTAAAATATACCCATAGGTGGTTAAAAAATACTCGAGCAAATGCTATTCATTTCCCAGCTAGAGTTATTTTCAAATCATTTTATATGAAAAATGGCGTGAAAATAAAAAAATAAAAATTACATAATAAAAAATTAATCAAACGATCTACAAAAGTATATGTGACATAACTATATTATTTTATCAAATAAGTGACGAAAATAGGACAACAAAATGAATAAAGTTTGACTCTGTAAATAGTGAACGAGAAGATAAATTTTGGACGAAAGGAGTATTAGGGAATCGCTGATGGTAATCTGAAAAGAGTCTGAAGGACAAAAAAGAAGAAAAGGCTGAAATTCCACTCTCAGGACTTCTAACTATATTCATCCAATAAAAATCAGATACATGTAATTCAAAATAATTACTTTTTGAAAAAATAGTTACATTTATTTTGTAATTAAAAAATCAATACTCCCCAACTGTAAAAAAACTCAATCGTTGATTATGTTATATTGTTATGATTTTTTATAGTTTTTATTTTATATGGAGTATAATTTTTTATTTTATATTTTTTAGGAACAAATAAAACACATTCTTTTATGCAACTTTATACGGAGTATTTTAATTTTTTTGGGAACAAAACACAACAACACATTAAGCAAAGGTCATGCCATTTTACATTTTAATCATATTTACTTATGTACTCCTTAAATTTAATTTATTGTCTTTTAATTTTTTGGATAATGCTATTTGTACCTTAAGAATTTGTACCCCATTATGTACACTGCAGGGATGCACCAACATTTTATGTTGGTGTAATGCTAATTTTTGTTAACGCACGTTTTCAAAAAAAAATTGTTAACGCACAAACACTTTGTGTCAGTGTAAATTAAACTTTTGTTAACGCACCAACACTTTGTGTCAGTGTGAACCATCAAAATGTTGGTGCATATCTTTGGTGTACAAATATTGGGTCGGTACATGTAGCATGCTCCTAATTTTTTTTAATGCAATTTATATTTTATGTGTGTTTACTTGAATGATTTTAATTAAATGAACTTATTTTATTTTATGTGGTAATTTTATATAATTTTCTCTATAACTTTATGTTGTTGACTTTCTTAATGGTTAATTATATTTATAAATAAAATTGGTAGAAAAGGTAGTGTAAAATAAAATTACTCCCTCCTATAATGATCTTTCCGGTTCGCAAAACGAAGAAAAATCACAAGTTTTTTCAATCTATTTTATTTAAATATTGGTATAGAAATAAAAAATAAAACATACATATTTAAAAACTACACCAAAAGTTCAACAAAACAAGTGGTGACAAGAATATTTTATTTTATCATATAGGCCATGAAAAATACAAATAAATATAAATTCCCGTGAAGTTGGAATGGTGCTCTGGGAAGATCATTATAGGACGGAGGGAGTATATACTACTTCCTCTATCGCGTAAAATTTTTCAATTTTCACATCTTACTTGTCTCATAAAACATTTCAATTTGAGCTAAATGGACACAATTACTTTAACTTTTCTTAAATTTAATCGAACCTACTTCAACTACCTTCTACGCACTACTCATTTTGATATTTGGGTAATTTACCTAAATAGGACTAAAATATAATGACTTTCTCAATATAGGACTATATGTTTTTATTTCTCAATGTAGGACTATTGGTCATTATTTATTAGTCATTATTCAACTAAATATCCAGCATCATTTGGACATTATTCTTCTCACTAGTCATTATTAAGTCCTATTTAGGGAATAAAAAAGTTCAAGTCCTACATTGGGAAATGACTTGTGTTTTAGTCATATTCAGTGCAAATTTCACTTGATATTTCCCTAGCCCTACTCGTTTTAAATGTTGTCCTTTAATCTTGGTCAAACTTCTATAGATTTTCCCTCTCAAAAGTCAAAATAAGATCAAGATGGAAGAAAATATTAGATAACTAATCAAATAGAAATAAAGTCTGAAGATTGGAGTAATTTTTCTGAGAGTCTGGAAAAGAGTTTGAATTCTGAAATACTGAAGACTCTTTGCCCTTTGCATTGGGGATGCCCTTAATAACTAAGAATGTGTTTGATGAACAAAAAAGGTATAAGTTTTGATATTTTTAGATATGAGAATCTTTTTTGGTGTTTGATGAAACAAAAGAGATATCAAGTTTGATATCTTTACATATCATAAATCATCCTAATGATAGATTTCGATATCTCTCGAATTTATGAGATATCAATATAGGGATTTGATATATCTCTCATTCGTTGGCCATTCTTTGCTTGCCACAGGTTACCGTTGTTACCGCCAGCCACCCCCGTTTCCAGTCACTCTTGCATATCACAAATTAAATCATGATTTTAATTCTTTTCAAACAATTTTGTTTATATTTCCAAACTTATATCGTTTTCTCTCTGATTCCAAAACTTATATCTTATTATGTTTTCAAAACTCACCAAAACGGTCTTAAGACTTTTTTTTATTATATCCAAGTAGTGTTTGGTTGGAAAAAGTACTTCCTGAAATATTTCAATTCTAATTTTCACGTTGTAAATAATATTAGGAAAATAGTTTCCCATAAAAATATCATGGATAAATGATTTTCATTATTCTCAAAGAATTTGTTTTATTCTTTCTTTGCCCTCGCCCCCATGCCCCCCTCCGTCCACGCCTACTTCTTCGACCCCAACTCCCTACTGGCCCGTCCCACCCCACCTCTAAGTCTCTAACTGCCAGCCGCCCACGCCCGCCCACGTAGGCCTGTCAATGGGTCGGATATAGACCCGAACATTTATAATTCCCGTAATATTTTAACGGGTTTAAAAGTAAAAAAAATTAAAAACACTGTTTACCCGCACTTGAACCTGTGCCCATTATTTAAAAAAATAAAGGTTTGGATATAGGATGAGTAATCCCGACCCATTTAAAACTCGTACCGGTTAAATAAATACTCCGTAGATAATATTAAATACTCCGTATTACAAAACCTTACCCCTCTTATTTGCTACTCCCCTTCTTCGCTAGTTGTGTGGCTTCCAAATCTATTTATATTTATTTCACCACATTAGAGGCATGTACACGTTAATTTATGCAGTATTATAAAATAAATAGTTTGGAAAGAATATTCTTGCAACCTGAATGAATGTGACAAGAAGACCGATTATGAATCTAAGATTTTTGTCGTATATTTTTGGTAAAGAAGGCCGATTGCTGCAGTAACGTATTAGTCTTATTTTTATTTATATTCAACTAAAATGTTTTTTTATTTATAGAATAAGACATCAACTTTTATCATGGATATATCCGACCTGATACCGAGACCCAATGAATCCAAATCTAGGATAAAATTTAAGTAATTCATCTATCTTTTTTTAATGTTAATGACATAATTAGAAAGTCAAACTACAAAAATAAATACTCCCTCCGTCCCAGAAAACATGGGAGTTTTGATTTTGAAGAGGGATTTAAGAGGAGTGTATTTTGGTATTGAATTTCTAAAAATGTCCATTGATGTGATGGTAAAAGTATGATTTGATGGATAGATTATTAGTAAAAAGGTATGATGTGATAGGTAGATTATGAAAAAGTAAGGGGTAAAAGTGAATTTTTTATACTACCTCCGTCCCATTTTATAATGCTTATTTCGGTTTACGATGCTTGACTGAAATTATTTTCAAACCATTTTATATGACAAATGGTATAGAATTGAAAAATAAAAATTACATATTAAAAAACTACACCAAAAGATCTACAAAACTAGTAGTGACAATAATATTTTATTTTATCAAATTGCTAACGAAAATAGAGAAAAAAAATGAATGAAGTTTGACCCTGTAAATAGTAAACAAGCATTATAATTTGGGACGGAGGGAGTAAAAATGAGAAGTATTTTTTGGGACGGATGGAAAAAGAAAGGAGAAAGGTTTTCTGGGACGGAGGGAGTATGTTCCAAGTTAAGGTAGGAATTGTTTAATTATAGAAACGGATAGAGTACTATAACATGTCAAAATAAAAAAATGTAATTACCAAAAATACAACAACAAAGTCTTATCCTACTAGGTGGAGCCGGCTAATCAAACGACTGTGCATCATATCTACTGTGAGATTGTTCGTGCGAAGGTCCTCCACGGCCACTTCTTTCAAAAAGTAATTAGAAAAATAAAATCATGTGTAGAGTATTATTTTCTCATACCACTAAGGGTCTGTTTTTTAGAACTGGAAAAAAAGTTGGATGCTAGAAGAAATTGGAATAAAGTGAAAGAACTAGAAGAAATTGGAAAAAACTGGAAGAAACGTGAAAGAACTGAAAGAGGAACTGGAAAAATTAGAAAAGATTGGAAAATATAAAAAATATAAAAAATATATTTAAGTTTATTTTTAATTTACTCTCATTATAATTGTTGTTGTTATAATTTATTATTATTATTATTATATTCGTAACCACGTTCTCTTAATCAATGTTTTTAAGATAAAAAGGTATTGTCATTTTTCATACACAAAAGTCTACTTTCACAAAAAAATAATTAGAATATAAAGTTAGCATAAATATTTAAAATGTTAAATTTTAAAAAGTTATTGTGAGTATGTTGTACCTCTATTTATTTATACAGTATTTATTATAAAAATATATTTGTAATTACACTTTGTATATAACAAGATTTTAATTTAATTATCAAATCTGTCACATAATGTGATCAAATCTCATATTTGGTACATTTTTATATTTTACTCATAGTTTAGAATTATTTCTAAAATATTGACTTCCAAATTTTTTTATAACAACTTGAAAAATGTTTTTCTCATATCAATTTAGAAGAGTGTGAATCATAAAACTAGTGATATGAAAAAAATAAAAAAGTAAAATTGTTTATAAACTATACCTATGAACATAATAGTTGTAATAATAATAATAATAATAATAATAATAATAATGAAAATGCTAATTATTATTACTGTTATGATGATGATGATGATGATGATGATAATCACATTAAAAATACATTATTTTTAGAGTAGTTGTTTGGGGAATAGAAAGAATTTGAAGAAAATGAGAATAATTAGAAAAAAGTGGATAAACTAGAATGAGTTAGAAAAAACTAGATGTAACTGAAAGAAACTAGAAAAAACTAGAACAGAAGTTACCTTAAATAGGACTAAAACATAGAGAAAAGTACCAAAATTGGATTTTTCATGTTTTTTTCCCCAAAATAGGATTTTGCACTGTGGTAATGAAACCCTGTACATGTGCACATTACTATGCTTTTTTGGTAATGTACATGACCATGTTTGTTAATGTAAGTACTACTTTGAGAATAAAAATAAGGAAGTCCTATTTTGATATATATTTAATATTTTAGTCCTACTTTGGTCTTTCTCTCAAACTAGAAGTTAAAAGTTTAAGGTCTAAGGAAAGATCTAAAAAATTTTGCATGTATAACACGTCTTATCTATCTAAGTTAAGTAGAACACAATTCCTTTTCGTAACGATTCAAACCATTATTGGATACCAATGTCATTTTGGCTCAAAAAATGGCCACTCCTAAATTGTGGAGTCTAACCACATCAATATCAAGTTTCACTTGCTTTAATTTCCAACAAGAATCCCCATGCACATTAACTGTACTCCATCTTTGAGTTGTCCTAGCCTAGCTAGTGGAATGAACTAGCTAGGAGCAGCATTTTCCTCATCAATTCTTTCTGTTGTCAGTTCAGGAGCAACTGCAACGACGTCCTCGTCATCCCCGGCAAATCCGACGGGGGACGCAACGTCGTCGCAGACGCTCAGAAGGGGGGCGGAGCCGGTGCTGCTACCCGTGCCACTTAGCCCCAAGCCATTTTTGAGGTGCTCCATGAACTCCGTGGCTCCGTCGCAGAGGCGGTGGAAGGAGTCCCAACGCTCCTTGAACTTCTCTAACGCAGCCCTCACTTCTGCGGCGGCGGCAGTCTCTTTCCCGCGGCAACTGCTCTGCAGCTTGGCCTCTAGCACCTCCGTCGCCGCCCGAACAAGGTCTTCATATGCATTCTTCAAAGGCTCCACAACTTTGCTCTCCATTAAAGACATCATCTCATCTTCTTCAAACGAGTTTCAGAATCACATATAATTAAATTCTGAAATCAAGGGACAACTTTATAAGAAGAGTTTCAATTTGCACAAATTAAAGTAATCTCCTCTAAATAATTTCTTGGATAATATTGTAATTTTTTCTTCTTTCTTAAAAGGAAACAAGAAACATGAAATTTATTTCAAAAACTACTAAGGAGGCTAGGAGTAAGGGAACAAAACCCCATTCCACACGGGTAGAGAAAGAAAAACATAACGAACTAAAAGGAAAAACATAACTCTACAAGGCTATGTGTAGGCGCGGGCATGATGGGTCTTGATAGGGTGCCAAGCAAGCGCCCCGTAAGCGGGTGAGTGTAGTAGAAAGTTACTCCGTATGTGTTATGGAGGCATGACAAAAAAGTGATGAGCTGATGAAAATATAAATTATTTTGATTGGTTGAAAAAAACAAAGAAGGTCTCGATAGAAAGTCTTCATCGCAATTCGCAAGTGGTGGTTAGACGTCATGTCCTATTTAGTAGGGGTGAGCATTTCCCAAACCGATACCGAAAATATCCCGAAAAACCCGAAAACCCATACCGAAATTGACCGAACCGAAAAAAACCCGAAAATACCCGAACCAAACCGAACCGAATATTCGGTTTGGTATTTGGGACGGGTCCCATCCCGAAAATCCCTTACCGAATCATTAGACTGATTTCGCTTCCTAAGGTTCTCAATAGTCAATACCGACTCAATCCTCACTTATCACTTCTCATTTCCCGTAAGAGAGAAGTTTGATTGTTCCTCTTCCTCCGGTTGCAGAGACTCCATTTTGCAATAGTCAGCTCCAATTCTAATTTCTAACTACTTCGATTGTTTGTAGCTGGTTTCCTTCATCGCAATTTGGGTCAATTTCAACTTCGAGATTTCCAGGTACCTTGCGACATGTGACCCTTTACATGTTCTTAAGTTCTTTATCGTCGATCCTCTCTCTGTCTCTCTGATTGTTGTGCTACTGGGTAGATTGGAGGGTACATATATTCAATATAAAATAAGGTGGAAAATGAGGTGATGAGTAAATCTGGCCGAAAGTTGAAACAAACACATGCCAATTGTTCTGCCTAGCAAATCCATCCATTAATAACATTACTTTGCTCCACTAACTCTTTGAAAAGGAAAAACAAAAAGGCTAGTGGCCGAGTATTTTTTTCATTCTCTTTTTGTTTGGGATTTATTTCCTCAAATCTGTTGAACAGAGTTTGAGAGTTAGCCATTTTATGAAAACAAATAAGATTGCCTATGAGTTCATGTGAAACAAGTTACTCTCTTTACCCTACCACCAGTCTTGTTAGCATATATATGAATAAATAAATAAAACATTGCTTTGATTTTACACAATTTCCACCCAAATGGATGCATTTGTTTAGGATTCTCATATTTGACTTCTTGAATTTTTTTGCTGTTTTTTTCCTGCAAATTTGTTATTTACTGGATTTTTTGACAAATTTATTTCTCATTTATGCTTGTCATTGACCTTTTTGTAGATGACTTCAATGAACAGTGAGAAGGATCAAACTACTCAACCAACCCAAATTGTTGAGGAAAGTAAAAAAACTGCTCTCGAAAAAGATGAGAATGAAGAAGATGATGATAGGAAAAGGTCATTTGTGTGGGATCACTTTGAAAGGGATTTGAAAGGGATTTGTTAGTAGCACAAGGTAAGGAAAACAAGTCTGAAATTGATATTTACTTGTCTGATGATATTCTACAAGTTGTTGGTGAGGATTATGATATATTATTGTGGTGGAAGTCAAACTCAGCTAAATATCCCACTCTCAGTCAAATTGCAAAAAGTGTGCTAGGGATGCCAATTTCAACTGTAGCTTCTGAATCGGCATTTAGTACTGGGGGAAGAGTTATAGATCCATTTAGGAGTTCACTTAACCGAAGAACTGCAGAAGCTCTCATATGTTCTCAAGATTGGTTAAGGTCAAACCCAATAGATATTCAGAATCCACCTGATATTACATTGGATGAGTACAAAAAGAATCTTGAAGAGATTGAAAAGGGTAAATTTGTTCGCATTAATACTACATATTTATTTATTTAGTTATTATTATATATCATTTATATTTTAATCTGATATTTTAATATTTTGTAGATGAATTTGCAAACACTCCAAAGCATCTGGAAGAATACATTCTGGATGATTGAAATGGTAACACTCCAAAGTCCAAAGTTATTCTTAATTGTCTGATTGCTTGTTTGTTAAACTTCATAGTTGGATCTGTTTTCATTTGTGGTTGTTTTTTTCTTAAAGGGTTGGAAGTTGCTAGTTTGCTGGGTTTTGTGTCAACTGTCAAGACACTTATATTAATTTGCTGGAAGTTGCTCCAAGTTGCTGGAAGTTGCTTGTTGCTCCAAGCAACTGGCAGTATTTTTTAAATGATTTTGTGCCTTTTTAGGGACCCTGGAGTGCCTGGACTCTTGATTTCCTTATCAACCTTTTGTGCAATTTTTTTTGCTAAACACTAACTTACTGCTAGTTAACTGAGCAAGCAGAATTGGGTGCAATGCAGAAGGTTTTTCTTCAATTGAAAGTTGCTTGTTGCTCAAACTTTCAATTGATAGAAAAGCAACTGTTTTTCCTTAGCTTTATTATTTGGAAGTTGCTTGTTGCTCCAAGTTTAAGCTGATTACAATCATTACATTTGGCAACTTTGAGAGTTTAAGTCATCTTTTTAAGTGGACATACTGCCAGTTTTTTGTATGGTGGAATAGCACTCAATGCATTATTTTTTTTGTTGGAATTTGTTTTAATATTTAGAGTGAGTGACTTTTTCTCTTAATTAGAGTTGTGTTTTGTGTTTAATATAAAATAAATCCCGAACAATTACCGAAACCGATATAATTTATCCCGAACCATACCGAACCGAATTTTCGGGTTCGGTATCGGGACAATGTAAAATCCCATACTGAACCGATAAATGTGGTACGGTATCGGTACAAGCTTAATCCCGTCCCATACCGTACCATGCTCACCCCTACTATTTAGTGATAACAGTAGTGTAAGATGATTTGGCCCTTCAAAATGTCAAATCATGTAACCTAGCAGATTGGGGACCTACGATTAATATCTTGTGTCGAGAGTCTTCCTGACAATGAATATAGGATTAGCCAATAAATTAGTAGAGAACCCACTACAAAAATCACTTCATGGGTAATCAAACATCTATGGTATGCGAGGAGGACTAGGTTAATATAATCAACTCTATCCTCTATGGGATTCAGTTCCTCTGGTCTAATTAAGTTGTTTATAATACCAAAGTCATGAAATGAATTCAATATGTTTAGGGTCTGTTTGGTATATGGAATTGACGGAATAGGAATTGAATTTGAATTGAAATTTCATGAGATTCAATTTCATAGAATTGAATTCTGCCAATTCCAATTCATTTTTGCACTACCAATTCTAAATCCACATAATTTTTGTGTTACCAAACACCAGAATTGGAATTGAAATTCTCAATTCCAATTCCATAATTTGAATTCCGTGTACCAAACGAGGCCTTATAGGAATTTCCTTTGAAGTACCTTATCAAACTACAAAAGATGTCCTTTAATAGGCTATGATTAAGTTTGCATCCCCAAAAGTAAAGATGGCTTCGGATGTGGAAGCTAAGAACTTGGGTTACTTTATTTGAACAAAACCAATGCCATGAAGCAGCTATGGGAAATTGCTAGTAAAAAGGATATTCTTTTCGTTAAACGGGTTCTCCTAAAAGGATAATATTTGGCAATATAAGAACAAAAGTAATACTTATTTCGTACCACAAAACATTTCTTGTTTTGATTTTTAAGGCATTTTAGAGAAATGTATTTTGATGTTGACTTTCCAAAAATGCTCTTGAATGCGGTAGGTAAAAGTAGATGTAGCGGGTAGACTAATTGTGAAAAAATGTAAGATGATAAGTAGGTTAAAATTAGTACTAAGTTTGTTAATAGAAATAAAAAATTTTTTGTGTGCAGATAGATGTAAAAAGAAAGAAAGAAAATGTTGTAGAAAAGAGAGAATAATTGTTACTACGTATTATTGGAAGAAAATGTTGAAAGTGAGATAAGTGGTCCCATTTTGACTCGACTTTGGCCTAGAGGAACCATTTGCTTTATGAGTATGATGTAGACTAAATTCTACTTACTCGTCAGAGATTGGGGCCTAAAACATGCATGGATTTAGAACACTACGTTTCGGGCCCAACTAGACCAGAGCCCAATCTAAATAAACAACGCTTTAAAAAAATTATTGATAGTATAGAAATAAATAAAGAAGGAAGAATGAGAAATGTTAAACTTGAAAGATGAGTTTTAAATAGTTACATAAAAAATTTAAGGGTTGTTTGGTGAATTTTGGAGAATTAATATGAGATCTGAAAGTTAGAAAAAAAGATATGAATCCTTAAGTCTAAAATGAAAGCATTTAGAGAAAGTTGAAATGATTATTGTTAGTAATAGACTAGAGTTCAACGATAATTACGTGATTAGCGACAAGTGAACAATGCTGGTGGAGACCGGTGACGGGGATAGTTAGTGGAAGAGAGATATCAAACTCTTGGATTGATATCTCTGACATTTTGGAGATATCAAAATTCTCTCTTTTTGTAGGATTTAAAAATATACTTACGCTTTTTAAAAATGATTTTAAAAATGATTGTAGTAAGTTGACAAATTGGCGTATGTACACCGACACTTATCGTATGAAAAATATGAAATAGGTGAAATCTGATGTGAAAATGATATGGATGAGAGAGATGCACTATAAAAGGTATATGGAGTTAATGTATACCCTCCACCCTAATAAGTATAACACAAATGGTAGACCTAACTGGTCCTCCTTAGCATGGACTAAAGGACCGGAATTATATGTTTGAATCCAGATCCTGATCCATTGTTTAGAACAAATTCTTAAATGGTCCTAAAGTCCACAATCATTAAATTGATCCTAGTATATAAACACAATAAAAGAGTTTGGCTTTTGGTAACATAAAAAAAACTATTCGTAAATTCATAAAAAATGTGAAAAAGTTTACACATTTCAAAATGTACGTAAAAACAGAATTTGTTTACACACTTAGGGGCCGTTTGTTTCAGCCTCTTAATGGTTCAGATGTCTGAATGATTCAGCATTTAATGGTTCAGACTGTTTGTTTCAGCCTCTTAATGGTTCAGATGTCTGAATGGTTAAGAGATTTGCCTCTGAATGGTTAAGTATTATACAGAGTCTGAATGGTTAAGAGCTCTTATATGAATTGATCAGACATTTGCCTCTGAATAGTTAAACAATATACTAGCTCTTAATGGTTCAGACCTCTTACTGGTTCAGCACTTAATGGTTCAGACCTCTTACTGGTTCAGCACTTACCCATTCAGAAGTTACCAAACAGCCCCTTAGTTTAAAAAAAATATATACACACATATATTTGAAATAGAAATGGGATTTGTTTACCTGATCTGTACAAACGAGTAAATGATATAGGAGAAGTTCGGTGACGGAGAAGGTCGTCGTCCCAACCGGCCACCACGCACGGCTGCTGATCGGCAGCGAATCAAATAATAAATCATTCAGGGGTATATTTATGGAAGAAAATTAGTGAAAAATCATTAGTGAAATCCACCATTTGGTGCAGGTTTGTTGTCTAGGTTTAATTTGTTCGTCGGCCCAGTAGTTGAAAGTAAGCCCTAAATTAATTAAGGTATCCTTTTTCAATTTTAATTTTATACTCTCTCTGTTTCATATTTTATCACCTTTTACTTTATTACTCAATTTTTTCTCATTTTATTTATTTCAAAAAATTAATTTTGTTTTTCATTTTTCAATTTTTTATAAAAAATTTTGAAAGTCAAAATAGTTTAGATAAAAAGACTAAAGTAGGAGTAAAACATAAAAAATATACAAAAATTAAAGTTATATGTCTTTATTTCAAAAATAGGACTTACAATGAAAATAAAATTTCAATCATGAAAGAAAAAATAGGTTTGATTACATTACGTTACATTTCTGATATTTAAAACAAAATCTTGTAATATATAAAGTATAATTACAAATATATTATTTTATAATAAATACTGCACAAATAAATTGCGGTGCAACATAACCACAATAACTTTTTAAAATTTAATATTATGATATTTATGTCGACTTTATATTTTAATTAATTCTTTTTTGCAATCAATTGTGTGATCTCCTATTTTGGTCTTAAAAAAACTTATGACTCTTATTTTTAAAATTTTTCCCGATTTTTACTCCTATCTAGGGAGTACTTCCTTCCCCAACTATTTTCATTTTTCTTCAAACTCTTTCTACTCCCTAAATAATTAATCTAAAAACGATGTACTTTTAATGTGACGATTTTATTATTATTATCATCATCATCATCATCATCATTACAACTATTATGTTCTTAACTATAATTTATAAATTTTTTTATTTTTTATTTTTTTCTCGATCATTATTCTTACGATTCACGCTCTTCTAAATTGATATGAGGAAAATATTTTTTAAATTTTAATTTTTTTTTGAAAGTCAAAGTATTTTAGAGAAAAAGACTAAATTAGGAGTAAAACATAAAAATGTACCAAAATATCAGTTATATGTTCTAATTCACAAAATAAGAGTTACAATGCAAATATAATGTCAATCATGAAAGAAAAAAATAGATTTGATCACATTATCTGGCAGGTCTGATATTTAAAATAAAATCTTGTAGTATATAAAGTGTAATTATAAATATATTATTTCATAATAAATACTGCATAAATAAATTGAGGTGCAACGTAACTAGAATAACTTTTTAAAATTTGGCATTTTAACATTCATGATAAATTTATATACTAATTAAAGAAAATTACAAAAGTAGATTTTTGTGTATGAAATATGACTATTCTTTTTTATCTTAAAGATATTGATTAAGATAACTTGATTATTAATATAATAACAATAATAATAATAATAATAATAATAATTATAACAACAACAATTAGAATGAGAATAATCTAAAAATTAAATTAAATAAAATTTTGAAACATTTTTTAGATTTTCTAATTTTTTCTAGTTTTTACATTTCCATCTAAATTCTTCTAATTCCTTCCAGTTACTTTTAGTTTTTTCCAACATCTAGCTCTTTTTTTAGTTCTAAAGAACAGGCACTTACAACTTGTTCTTTAGAGCTGAAACTATTAACGTTCACTTTCTTTCAGTTCTTTCCAATTTCTTCCATTTTCTTTCAATTTTTTCAACTATTCCCATTTTCTTCAAACTTTTCAATACCTACTCTCCAAGCAATTAATTTAAAAATGATGTATTTTTAATGTGTTGATTATTATTATTAGTAATATTATCTTCATTATTATTATTATTACAACTATTATGTTTATAACTATAGTTTATAAATTATTTCATTTTTTAATTTTTTCTATATCACTATTTTTAGGATTTACACTCTTCTAAATTGACACGAGGAAAAGATTTTTCAAATTTTAATTAAAAACAGTCAAATATTTTAGAGAAAAAAACTAAACTACAAGTAGAACATAAAAAATGTACTAAAATACAAATTTTATGTTTTTATTCCCGAAATAAGAGTTACAAAACAAATACAGTGTCAATCGTGAAAGTAAAAAATATATTTGATCACATTATACATCATGTCCGATATTTAAAATAAAATCTTGTAATATATAAAGTGCAATTAAAAATATATATTTTTATAATAAATATTGCACAAAAATTAAGTTGCAACGTAACCACAATAAATTTTTAAAATTTAACATTTTAATATTTATTCTAACTTAATATTCTAAAAAAAATTGGAAAGTAGATTTTTGTGTATGAAAAATGACAATATTTTTTTTATCTTAAAGACATTTATTAAGATAACGAGGTTATAAATATAATAATAGTAATAATAATAACGATAATAAATTATAACAACAACAATTAGAATGAGAATCATATAAAAAATGAACTCAAATAAAATTTTTAAAGTTTTTTTAGATTTTCTAATTTTTTCTAGTTTTTCCGTTTTCATCTCATTTCTTTCAATTTTTTCGAATTCTTTCTAATTTTTTTCCAACATCTAGCTCTTTTTTCAGTACTAAAGGGCAAACCTTTAGAAGTGTGCCTTTTTTGCCACTATGCCAACATGCTTCTATTGGGAAAAATTAATTAAATTTAGTTGTAATATAAATTTATTATATATAATTGTATTCAATTTAAATAATATAGTTTTGATATGGAAGTAGGTTCGCATAGTGACAAGAAGGAAGTCTACGCCAATCTTCTCCACATCCAATGATAGGTATGTGTTCCGCTAAAAAAAAATCATTTATTCTTTCAAAAACTTTATTTATTAATGGTTAACGAGTGCAACACTTTGGTCCAAAAAATCAAACTATAAATCATTTGACAGATTATTATATCACTTTAATTTTTATTTCTTTTTTAAACTCGTGACATTTTTATTTTTCTTAGATCTAATTGTACCTTTCTCCTCATGTTTGGGTTGTTTCAAACTTTCTTCTTTTTTATTTGGATGGTCTAAAATATAGTCCCAAAAAGATTGGTACATATTGACTTTTTGGAAAATTAAAGAAGGGATATTTTGGTGTTGACTTTCCAAAAATACATTTGATGAGATGGGTAAAAGTAAGATGTGATGGGTAGATTATTAGGAAAAAGGTATGATGTGATAGGTAATGTATGAAAAAGTAAGGGGTAAAAGTAATTTTTAATAGAAATGTAACGGACTTTACGGGACGCAGTTTTTTCAAAACGTGTCGAACTTTTTGGGACGGAAAGAGTATATTTGTTTTCTTTTAAAGAAATAAATACTCCCTATGTGATTCATGTGAATTATTTTTTCTCAAGTCAAACTAAAAGCGGTAATGTGGCAAGCATAATGCAACTTTATTTGTAAGAAATTATATTAACGTGCCTGCGAAATGACTCCAAGGACGCCTAGGGAAACCCTAGCTGCATTGATCTCCGGGTCATCTTCCTCGAGTTGCCTGACGGCCGCATAGCCCTCCTCCGGCGACGCCGGAGTTACAATCCGAACGCGGACAACGTGATCATGAAAGGCGGTCCCTCGGCCCCGTAACGTGCTCCCGTGAGCTCCGGTGCCCATCATTCCCCTCACCAGTACGGCGTGTGAGGCAACGCCAGGCCCGCCTCCGCCGCGTCGTTGATCAGTTGCCGGAGACTCACTCCGCTCTCCACCGTCATGGTCATGCTCTGTTTGTCAACTTTCAACGTCCGGTTGAGGTGCATTGTGCTGATGAGGAGACCGTCGCCGCTGCCGCTGCCAGGGCACGCCAGCTTGGGGATGCTGTGGGAGGACCGGGTGGCCGCTTTCATCTTCCGGTTCTCCCTGGTGGCAGCGGCAACGACGGCGATCAGCTCTTCCTCCGTCCTCGGGTACGCAGCCTCAGCCGCGCGGCAAATGCTACGATCTGGGAAAGCACCGTAGGAGTTGGTGAGGGTGCAGTTTTTATTAGTTGATTGGTTGGTGCATTTGATGGGGTTATCTGGTGGGGTGGAACGGACTTGGAGCAATAGTATAGTGACGAAAATATGGATACTTATGGGGAAGATCACTTGATAGCATATATCTCTTCTTCTTCTTCTATCTTTAAATCTCTTGAGTGGGAGAACATAAAATAAAGCTGCGAGGGAGCTAGCTAAGATGAGAGGGTTCATAGTATATTAAAATGTGAGGGACCTTGGATTAAAATGAGAGATTACTTAAGATTAATAATGACAATGAAAGTCTAAGAAGAGAGGGTACTTATTTATACTACATATTTTAAACTATCCATTAGTCTATGTACTCGCTCAACTGGTCTAATTAGAGAATGTCAAACTCGTTGATTCTAGGGTCGAATCCCGACAGCGGCAGTGTGAGAGTTCTATTGTGCGCATCGCATATAGAGCGATTTCTTTAAGAACCAGATTGAGATTATACTATGATTTACTCTCATGTAATCGCGTGGAGCGCTCGAGGTGCGCGTTCCACTTTTTAGTAGTCATTGGTCTATTAAAGTGTGTCCTTAGTAGTATGATTTTTTTTAAAAAAAAGTTTGTCCTAGTAACTACCATGGTAATACATTGACCCATAATGGCCCCAAGTTATTTTACTCCGATCCGTCTATCACTACGCGTTATGACTTTAATTGTATCACTTTGGCAATTTTGTCAAAAGCATCCAATTGGTAAGTACCTTTCATGCCACCTCTTGGCCGGTCCTTTCCTAATCAAAATAATTTTATGTAATAAATTCAAAACTTATTCACTAGTGTTGAAGTAGCGATGTAAAATTTAGTGATTTTATGAAATGATGACGTGCTAAAGACAACCTTGGAGTATCTGGGTGCAATATTGTATAACCAGTCCAGATGTTGCTATATACACTCTCATTACGCTCCATTTATCGCTAAATAGATAATTTTGCCTTCAAAAACATATATGGAGTCAGGATATTATATGTTAGCCAACTTTTAATATCAAATTTATCCATTTTCCATAAATGGGGGTGATTTAACTATTATGGGAGTGAATATAGAGCAACACCCATCGGTCAAATCTACGTGTATTGTTTTGAATTTTTCCAAATATATTTATATATGTCACATTTATTTTTTATTAATTTTTTGATGTGATCATTTCACTCGTTAATGACGATTTTTAATCCGTGTAAGTGAGAATTATTTTTCTACCGTAGATGTACTTATTAGTTTAATTTTTTTAGAAAATAGTTTTTTCTAAAGTACATCATTCTTAAATGTAACTTTAATTTAAATGTTAGATATAGTCCATTATTACGTTTTATAAAAAAATTCAAAAGATAGGTCATCTTTAGAAAAATTTAATAAAAGGTCACTCGTCATTAACAATACTTTGGATTTTGTTGTTAAAAGTTAATGGAGATTGTTTTGTAACTGATAAATTAGTACGTATATGGTGAGATAATAAATTCTTTAATACGGAGTATAATAATTCAGTCTCAATTCACCAGAGCTTGACAAGTGGAATATCTAAGTGGATTTTTTTTACACCAGGTTCTTTTTTATCTGCGTGGAGTTTCTTCCAATAGTTAGATGCCATTTAATCTTTCGTGTTCCTTCTTCTTACACGTATTTGAATGATTTTTATGATATGTTTGGAAACATGGATTTGGATTTTAAATCCGGATTTGGCTTAAATTCCATGTTTGGAAAACTTAAGCATTTTGAATTTGAATTTGAATCAAATTCTTTACATTCAAAACAAAGCTTAATTTGAAATCCATGCACCTCCCCTTGTCATTTGAAATTCAGGATTTCAAATTTTGGAATTGAAATGCATGAATTGAAATGAAATGCTAGTTGCCAAACACTACCTTAATTCATTTAGAAAAATTAAAGGTCTGTTTGGTTGGTGGGAAGGGGAGGGGAGGGAATTAAGAGAATCTGAATCCTTCCTTTTGTTTAGTTTTAAAACATGGAGGGAAATGGATCCAGAATTTTAGCTTTAATTTCCTCCCCCCAAATCAATCCTTCCAAATCGGATGGAATCATCTTTTCTCCTGCCATTCTCTTCTTCTGTCAATTTTTTTCACCTAATAAATAAAAAATAATATAAAATAAAAAAACAAAAAATAAAATTAAAATAAATAAATAGATAGTAGTATTAATTAATAAGTAATGCCATTGCTTTGATCCAGATTATTGTGAGAATTATGTTGCGTTGTTATCCAAGTTGCATCAAATCATCTCTGTCATGGATCATCAAGTTTCTTTTGAATCTATTCTCAATAAAGTTTCCGAAGTTCCGGAATCAATGCTCATAGCGAAGCATATCACGGATTTAGTATGATATTGTCCGCTCTGAGCCAAGCCCTCACGAATTTGTTTTTGGGCACCTCCCAAAAGGCTTCATACTAATAGGATTGGATGAACCTTTTTATTTTGGTTCATTTACTCATACACTTCGGGTGTGGGACTTGGAGGAATCCCAACAACAAAAAAGGCTTATGTGGGTATTGTGGCGAGAAATGGGTTCCAAGTCATCATTAAGGGCATCGGTTTCTTGTATTTACGGGCCCGATGAGGAGGATGAGGATACCCCACTAAAGCTAATTGAGTACTATTGCCAATGCCAAAATAAACAAACAAATAAACACAACTTTCCCTTATAAAAAAATCAATGAGTTTCCTTTTGAATTAAAAATAGACAGAATTTTCCTTTTGAATTAAAAATTCGTGAAATGCTCGAACAAACCAAAAATCAGTCGAACATAATTTTATACTGAAATAAGAATCTTTTTAAAAACTAATAACTCTTAGGGTATGTCTGGTTGGAGGGGAGTGGAAGGAATGGATGGGAGGGAATGGGAAGGGGAGGGAAGGATGGGATGGGAAGGAAATGTTTTATTTTCAATTTTTTATTTATATTTTTCGTTTTTAACTTATTTTGTTATCTATTTTAAAATTATTATCAATATTTTTTATTTAATAATTCTTTCATTTTACTTTTTAATATTTTAACAATTTGTTTTTTATTTATCCTACATTTTGATTTTTTATTTCTTATTTAATTTATTTTTTTAATATATATATAAAAGTAAAACTTTCCATGCATGGCACAAGTTCAATTTCGACAAATATTATATCGTTGGTAATCTTTTTATGAGATCTACCCAACAAGACAAATATTGAACCTACTAATGTTATAAGTTATTTACATTTTTATGCCAAAAGGGTGACAAAACTCTTTTTGCACAGCACCTCTAAATTGGGTTCTGACCACATTTTTAGGTTTATATTGCCAAAACTTAAATAAACATATTAAAAATTCAATACTCATAGCTTTATATTTTCCTCACTTTGAGTCTGGCTCAGTCATTAATAAATTCTCTTGATTAAATACAAACTTTACTTTTATTAAATCAAATACATCATGTGATTTAAATCACATATATCCCTCCAGTCTCCATGTATTTGTCCACTTTCATTTTTACACACCATCCAATGCACTTCTTTAATCCATTTTATCTTGTAATTTGTATATTAAAAAATTATAAAAATTATATATTAATAATCTATATGTTAAGACAAATCAAACAAGATCACACATGACTATATTTAGGCTTACACATTGAGATAATTTGATGAGTCAAAGTGCTTAGATGAACCGTTCCAAAAGTCAAATGTGAACAAATATAGGGGGACGGAGGGAGTTGATGATTAGAATATCCACAGTAACTTATTTATTTAAAATAGTTATTAACTACTAGACCAATTTCTAAGGCGTTACAAACATAATTGTTGCTCTTTCTTTAAAAAAAAGATTTTTTTCAAAAATTTTCAACTTCTGAAGATGATAACAGATTGGACCATGCTACACTCACACCAAAAAATATACCCCATTTGTAGACCACATGTTTGCACAAACATTTCGATGGTTTACACCGACACAAGTGTTGGTGCGTTAATAAAAATTCACACAGACACAAATGTTGGTGCGTTTAACAAAAATTAGTTTTATACCAACACAAAATGTTGGTGCAAAACTGCGGGGTACAAATTGGGGTATACATAGCATAATCCTAACAGATTTGTGATGAATCATCACAACCTTGCTAATCTCACCATCGTTGTGTTGGGACTGCGCGTGCCCTCACCCCAACCCCGCATTAGTATGATATTGTCCGCTCTGGGCCAAGCCCTCACGGATTTGTTTTTAGGCACCTCCCAAAAGGCCTCATACTAATGGGGTTGGGTGAACCTATATATTTTGGTTCATTTACTCCTACTCATCCGGTGTGGGACTTGGAGGAATCCCAACAAACCTCCCCTCATCCAAGGACCACACAACTTCCGACCTCCCCTCCAACGGTAATCTCCTTTTTTTTCTCTTTATCTGCTAACCATCTTGCACCGCCGCACACTCTTTGCGGGACACGCCGCCCGACCTCCTGTCGGGAAGACTTTCGACGCAAGGCTCGAACCGCAGATCTTTCCTTCGCTGGGCTACACCATTTGATCCGCCAAATCATCTTGTACCGCCGTGGCTATAACTTCACGGGACGCGCCGCCCGACCTCCTCTCGTCGGGAAGACTTTCGACACAAGGCACCACCTGCAGATCCTCTTTCTTNTTTATCTGCTAACCATCTTGCACCGCCGCACACTCTTTGCGGGACACGCCGCCCGACCTCCTGTCGGGAAGACTTTCGACGCAAGGCTCGAACCGCAGATCTTTCCTTCGCTGGGCTACACCATTTGATCCGCCAAATCATCTTGTACCGCCGTGGCTATAACTTCACGGGACGCGCCGCCCGACCTCCTCTCGTCGGGAAGACTTTCGACACAAGGCACCACCTGCAAATCCTCTTTCTTGGTCTTGGTCCTAGTTACACCGTCACACCGAGATTTTTCCACACTGCACAGTCCGCTACTCCCGCCCGCAAGAACCTGGCTCTGATACCATATGTTGGGACTGCGCGTGCTCTCACCCCAACCCCGCATTAATATGATATTGTCCGCTCTGGGCCAAGTCCTCACGGATTTGTTTTTGGGCACCTCCCAAAAGGCATCATACTAATGTGGTTGGGTGAACCTATATATTTTGGTTCATTTACTCCTACTCGTCCGGTGTGGGACTTGGAGGAATCCCAACACGTTGAACATACAAGTCTAACAATTGTCCAGGATACATTGCATTCTACAAGAATTTATACACCAAGAGATCTTTGAGATATATTATATCAATGTCTCATCATAAAAGCAATGCTAGGGGATGTACATCACCCCCTTCTCCACCGCACATTTTTATTTGATTTTTATTTACTTATTTTTTCAAAATTTCTTTTGCCTTTTTTAGTGAACAAGGAGGGGGTGCAGTACATATGGGGTACACCTTTGGTGAGGTGTACCCCTAACATTTTTCTTCTTCTTATATTTCCATCACTTTATCAATAGTTATGCCACATCAAATTTAATGCACCCAATTAAATATCTTCTCTCTATAGGAGCATTTTGTTCTCCTCTCAACCATACTCACTTACTTTCCCCTACATAAGTTATTTCATTCCGTATTCACTTTCCATATCTATAAATAAAGATATTTATGATCAGAGTTTTGTATTGAAAATCGTGAAAAGCCAAACAAAAATATTCAAACGAGATGGAGGGAATATTATATATATCTGGAATAATCTCAATTTATCCATGAGGCATAAAACAATAGCTACCACTCATGTTAATGTGTTTGTATGAGACTCTCAAGTCCCATCGACTACTAGTCCTTCCATCTCTAAAAATCTTTCTCATTTTTTTCTTTGTTCTAATTTTTTATCCTTTTGAATGAAAAATTATTTTTATCCCTACTAAATTTTTTACCTATATATAATATCATATCTTTTTATACTAATAATCTACTGATCACATTTAACTTTTACGCATCACATTAAAGATAATTTGGGAAAGCCAACACAAAATTATACCTTCATTAATTGATCACATAAAAATTAAAATAAGAAGAAAATGTAAGGATGAAAAAAGAATTATACAAGCCAGGCTAGACAAAATTTTTTCATGTATGAGTAAATTAAAAAGGAGTGTATATTATACTCTTAAGCAAATTGTGTATATATTTATTATATGATCATGAAAAGTTGCTTATCTTAGCACAAACCCTAGCATCTTTGTATACTTTCCCTGATTGACAATAATACCCTTTTCTCGGAGCACAATGAGAATCTTGGGAGCAAATACACAGCCCTTCCAAAGCACATCCCTCCTTTGAAATGGTCAATCCTTCCCCAAGACCCAAAACTTGATCACTCCAAACGCTTGAAAACAACCCTTTAGGATCATACTTGTCCTTAACTTTCAAGAACTCATCAAACTTTGCATACTTGTTTATTGCCCCTAGGAAGGCCACATTTCTATTCTTCCCCCAATGTGGCAAGGCCTCATACTTGAAAATTGCGAGCTGTTCAATTTCTTCTATGAAGTCTTGATAAAGCCTAGGAGTCGTTGGATCTTTACTCCGATAGTAGGTAATGTCAAAGTCTATCGCATCGTCTTGTTTTCCTAAATATGCACCCGAAGATGTGACGTATCTCATGAGTATGCCATTGTACAACTCCACGCCACACAATGCTTTTGGGTCCAGATTCACCAACTTTTGTACATCTTGTATGAAACCTTTTAATGAGAGTAATAGGATACGAGTTTTATTAAACTACTCTAACTTTTCATATTTTGTTACTAGCTACCACATTTTCTTTTTTTAACTATGTTTGGTATGCATACTTTAGTTAGAAATTCCTATGCGTACGTTATTTGTATATGCTAATATAACCTTCATAACCCTATCATATTGTATCACCTTTCACTTTGGAGAGACTGACGCTAAATGTTGTTTGGTGAAAGAATAATCCCTTGACTCTAGGGTCCCATGGGCAAGCTGTTAGTAATCCATCATTTGGGCTGTCTAGGCAAGTACCCGATGATTGGAGTCGATTTTGGTACCCAATTATAGGGTACCCGGTAAAGATGACACCTGTGACGATAAAGATATATTTGATGATGATTAATATTGTACAATAAATTAAATTAAAGCAATATGTGATCTTCTACATACATAATGGTGACATTCAAATGACATTCACCAGGAGTGCCATCTTATGACACTAGCTTCAATTAGAGCCAACGAGGTTTCATTCACAAAAGTGATTATTCCTATCACCCCATAACAACCCCCAAAAGCGCCCCACCCCGTCCGACCCGAACTCACCCCCAATCCTTTTTAATTTCACCACCAAATTTAATTAACTTTGAGGTCAATTTATTTACCTCAAAGTTAACTAATTTTGGGTGATGAAATTGAAGGTGTTGTGGGTGTATTGGAGTTGGGCTCGATGAGGGACTTACTTGGATATAAGAGAGAATATGAACCATCAATTTTACGAATAAAATATCGTAGGTGCTCCCTATAGATAAATACTACCTCCGTCCCAAAAAGATTTACACGTTTGGACTAAAGTTGAAATTAAGGGAGGGATAATTTTGTGTTGACTTTCCAAAAATACCCTTGATGTGATGGGTAAAGTAGGATGTGATGTGTAGATTATTAGGAAAAAGGTATGATGTGATAGGTAGGGTTTGAAAAAGTAAGGGGTAAAAGTGGTTTTTTAATAGAAATGGGTAGGAGATTGTGGAACGCAATTTTTTTGAAAGGTGTAAATCTTTTTGGGACGGAGAGAGTACATACGAAGTACAAAATAAATATTACCGTTGTTGGTAAAGCCATATGCAGCAACTTTTGTAACGAATGTGGATGTATTGGCAAGTATGCACTTCCCATTCGCATCATTGATTGCTTCTTGATTTTCCTCTACACAAAGACATTTACATATTCACAAGACTAAGGCTCAATACATACTACGGAGTATTTTCGTGAGTATTTATTTGTTTAGATTTAACTTTTTTATCATCAAAATTTCATGAATTAAATAAAATGTATATTACTTAATGATATATACAAGAGTTATTTTATTAGATTTATCTTGAAAAATATTATCAAGATATTACTCTTATGTAATTAAAATACCATATAATTTGTATTTTAATTACAGGTAAAAAATTGATCCTAATTGACCGCAAAAATTTAAAACTGGAGGAATGCTCAAGACGGAAATAGTGTTTCTTAATTAATTCATGCATTGTGGAGTTCTTCATCAGCTCTCACATGACATCCCACTAAAAAATATTTCCTCCGTCCTATAAAACTTTTCAAAAACATAAAAGGCACACCCTAAAAATGGATTATTTTCATATTATTTTCTAATTATGATTCATTTATTCTACACATTCTATCCTAGTTTATTAAGAACAAAATTTAAAAATAACAAAAAAAATGTACGGAGTATATTTTTAGGGTGCACCTTTTTTCTTTTTTGAAAGTTTGATGAGGCAGAGGTAGTACTACTCTATATATGGAGTATCATTTACTTCTTCCGTATCACAAAACACATTCGTCCTAATTTTTTTAGTACATCCCATGAAACACTTTTACTCAATCTAAAATGTCTAAAATATTCTCAATACAACTTCTACCCGTAATAAATTACGAAATGGAAGTGTATTTTTGATATTTTGAGTGTGGTAGAAGTGTTGAACGATGCGCGAAAGATTAAGGCATAATATTTTGTGAAACAGAGTATTACTCCCTCCGTCCCTAAATAAACTTCTCATTTCGTTTTTTCTTTGTCTCCAAATAAACTTCTCTTTTCCCTTAAAAAACTCCTTTTACCTCTTATTTTTTCATACCCTACCTATCAGATCATACCTTTTTACTAATAATCTACATATCACATCTTATTTTTACACATCACATCAAGGGTATTTTTGAAAAGTCAATACAAAAATATCCATCCTTTAAATCTTCAAAAAGGGAAATTTATTTAAAGACGGAGTGAGTATTTTTTTTTTTGAATCGTCAAGGTTCGTTCATTTGACGGGAGAAGCTAAGCGTTAATTATTACTCGGGATTTAATTACCTGCAGCCCTCGTGAGGCTTAACACGGTTGAAGGAGTGGATCGGAATCCCAAGAAATCGTTGAGACCATTAGAGGGCGCGTTTGTCTTGACCCGATCATCAATGCGCTTAACGACTCTTCTCTGGCTTGGAAACCAAGTCATGTCTCCGAATTCGTGTTGGCACCCAAACGCGGCTGCTCCCTCCCACAACTCCGTGTCATCTTCCTCCACATATGTCACGGCCCGTTTAAACATTGGTTCCAATTTGAGGGTCACCTTTTCGTATCATACAATATTATTTATTACTCCCTAATATGGGTCATACTACACTTACACCAAAAATTGTACCTCATTTATACACCGTAGTTATACACAAACATTTTGATGATTTACACTGACACAAGTGTTGGTGCGTTAACAAAAATTTACACGGACACAAAGTGTTAGTGCGTTAACAAAAATTAGTTTTGTACCAACATAAAATGTCGGTGCAAATCTGCGGTGTACAAAATGGGGTACAAATAGCTTTATCCCCCTAATTAATATTCACCCATGGTATATAACTATATATAGTACTCCACTAAATTATTTCCACTCTCAGATAAAATCTCCTCTTCATCTCTACTACCTCAATACTTAGCATACCAATCACTTCATATCTACTCCCTTTGTCCGGGAGTGTTTATCCACGTTTAAATTTTCTGGTCAAAATTAGTAAACTTTGAACTCAGATTAAATAAAAATGATATTAGATATCGATATAAAAATATTTTCATTAAATTTATTATATAAAATAGTTTCAAAATATTATTTTATCTAATTAATATACAATATATATTTTATTTTATTATAAATCAAAGGTTAAAAACAATTAACTGAAAAAATCAAAAACAGAACAAATACTCTGTAACATATCCTCTACTACTTCAATTCTTAACATATCTATCATTTCATATCTATTCACTGTTAATCAATTTATCAAATATTATCCTGCTCACAGTAAAGTAAGAACAAAATTAAAAAGTACCACTATACCAAAAGTATACACTTCTTAAATCATCCCTATATACAACAAGAATAACAATCTGGTTAAATCTCACAAAAATCGAATTTGTGGAGGCTATGGCGTATGTACACAGATCTTACCTCTGCTCTAAAGTAAAAATGATGTTTCTAAATGAACCCCCATGCTCAAGCATCACACAAGTAATCACGCAGCTAGCGTGACTCATACGTTTAAAACATAGAGCAGTTATTTCTGGATCAACCATGGTGAGTGTTAGGAGTAATATTAATTTACCAACTACTACATTATTAAAAGAAGCGCAAATAATTTAAAAAATAATCGTTTAATAACATCCTACCCTAAAGTAAAAAAAAATTATGAATATTTGGCTCCATCAAATTTGACTGAACCATTGAAAAAATATAATAGTATAGAATTATTTTGTGATTTTTTTTGGTAAGAGGTGATTGAGAAAAGTTTGGTGGGAATTGATCGAACTTGGGGTTGGATGATAAGACATACTATGACCATTTTCGAAACAAATTCAAATTAATTTTTTCAAAAGACTATTCAATGGTAATGTATAATTTTTGCAAAGTTAATCTACATATTTAAAAAAACAAAGAAATTTTTCTTAGGGACCACGAAAGACTAACACTATGTTTGGTTCAAGGAATTTGAGACGGAAAGGAAAAGAAAATGAGAAGGAAAACATCTTTCTTGTTTGGTTAGAGAGGAAAAGAAAAGAAAAGTGGAAGGAAAAGAAAAAGAGAAGGCAAAATGTACTAAGAGGAAGGAAAACCAAATTCCTCTCATTTTGGTGAGAAAAATGAGGGAAAACTATTTTCTTTTCTTTTGTTACCAAATTCCTATAGTGTAAAAGCATATATACCTGTGAAATGACTCCAAGGACGCCTAGGGAAACCCTAGCTGCATTGATCTCCGGGTCATCTTCCTCGAGTTGCCGGACGGTGGCATAGCCCTCCTCCGGCGACGCTGGAGTCACAATCCGAACCCGGACAACGAAATCATGAACGGCGGTCCCCGCCGAGCGCCATAACGAGCTCCCATGAGCTCCCGTGGCCATCATCCCTCCCACCGTCAACCCCCACCAGTACGGTGTGTAGGGCAACGCCATCCCCGCCTCCGCCGCGTCGTTGATCAGTTGCCTGAGACTCACTCCGCTCTCCACCGTCGCCGTCATGCACCGGTTGTCAACTTTCAAAGTCCGGTTGAGGTGGATTGTGCTGATGATAAGACCGTTGCCGTTGCCGTCGCCAGGGCACGCCAGTTTGGGGATGCTGTGGGAGAACCGGGTGGCGGGTTTCATCTTCCGGTTCTCCCTGGAGGCGGCGACGACGAGCTCCTCCTCCGTTCTTGGATACGCAACCTCGGCCGCGCGGCAGAGGCTGCGATCCGGACGCGCCGTAGGAGTTGGTCACGGTGCAGTTTTTATTGGTTGAGTGGTTTGTGCATTTGATGGGATCATCCGGTGGGGTGGAATGAACAAGGAGCAAGAAGAAAATATGCATAATAACGGCGAAGATCATTTGATAGCCCATTTGTTTTATTCTTTAAATCAAATCTATGGGGTGAGAGAATTATATAATGATTTAAGCTAGCAAAGATGATGGCATGTTACATTATTTATTACTCCCCCCTCCGTCCCATAAAACATTTCTTGTTTCAAAAATGGCACGCCTTAAAATGAGTCATTTTAGTGTTATAATTTAATTATGACTAATCTATTCTACACATCTTATCCTACTCTTTTATAAAGTAAGAGCAAAATTAGAAAATAACACCAAAATTACTAATTTTAACTGATGTGAATAGGGCGGTTTATTTGTTCGCTATTTAGAGTAGAGGGAGTGTTAAAAAAGATGGGTGATTTCCCTGCATGTGTAAATTGATTGAAATGTATTCTATTATATGTAATTTAAAAATGCACTTTCCCAAATAATGCAAACTGGAGTAGCTTACTCCATTTGCCATTTATTCTTTAGCAAAACGGAGTAGCCAACTCCGTTTCAAATGATTATTTAGGAAAACGGAGTAGCCAACTCCGTCCACCTTTTTTGATCTGCGGAAGAAAGGGAAACATGCACGAAGAGTGGAGATGGGGGGATCTCCACCTATTATTTTTAAAAAAAATCAAAAGTTTTTGTTTGTTTCTCAACTTTGTTCCTATATCTTTTTTAAATCAAATTTTTTTTCTTTATTTATTATAATTTTAAAACAATTTGTTTTATAAAAAGCAGAAAATTATTTACATATAATGAAACAATCTACTAATAATAAAATGCATAAATAAAATAATTTCTTATTGACTTTAAATAATGCAGCAAACAACAAAATTAAAATAAGAAATAAATCACAACAAATTTATTCATAAAGTACATACAATTTATTCATAAAAATAAGATTACCAAACACATGTCATAACTAATTTATCTTCTATCATGTTGATGTTAATTCAAGGGCTAAAAGTGTAATTATACAATGATAGTCTACAAATATGGTCTTTCGTCGGAATCTAAGCCCACAATCATAGTCATTATTTTTGTGTTATCTGCTTAACCAATATCAGAACACGTCTCTAAACATAATGTTGATGTCAAATTATACTGCATATATATTAAAATAATGAAATACAATTTTGAAAGTTCTCAATACTATAAATCCAATAAAGCCATTTTGTGTTAAAATACATTATGGTTCTTATTTAATTGAAGCTCAAAATTTGTCCAGTTTGATTCGAAAAAGTCAAACTGGACAAATACACTGGGACAGAGAAAGTAATTTTGATATATCAAATTTTTAATATAATTAAATTATTTATATTATGTTTAATTTGTGACAAAAAATGTCATTATTTGAAAAAGAATCAAAACATGAAATCTTTAGGATTGCGGAGTAAAAAAGGGAAAACGGTAAAAAATAAAGAAAATAAAAAAGAGCAAGACTCCTTGTGAAAGAATGAACAATTGCCAGATTGCCTTTCCTACGGTTAAAAGGATTTACACGGATGAGGTCTTTTTCCTTCTTTTTGGATTAACAAACCGAGAAAATGGAAAACGAAAAAAAAAACAGAGCCAAACGGAGACAGTCGAAACGGAGTAGCCAACTTCGTCTAAATAAATAATTCCAAACTAAACGGAGTAGCCAACTCCGTGTTGCACTGCGGGAAAAAAACCCCTGACATACACTGCCAGGAATGCTTTATAATTTTCTTACATATACCGGGAGTTTACTCCAAAAAGATCAATGTTCTCTCACTCGAAATGATTATATTATTCAACATATTCGAGAAAAATTTGTTGAAGTGTCCAGGTACACTTTGACAACGAACGTATGATTATCTAATTAGGGGGTGTGTTCGGGTCGAGAGCGGGGTGAGAGGTGTGTCCGGGTCGGAGGCAAGGTGGGGGAATTTATTGAACCATCAATTTTATAAATGAAACGCCAAAGTACCTCCGAATCATCCCATGAGATTAAGAACTAATGTCAATGTCATGGGAATAGGGGGATCTCACTAATGCACAAGGAGGCTATTGTGATGATGTGGTCTGCAATTTTCATACATCACCAATGGAAAATGTTGTGAGTTTTGAATAATGAAGAGAGTAAATTCTTTAAAAAAAAGTATAATTATGTACATTATTCAATTATTCTCATCATAAATTGAAGAATAAATGGATGTAGATATATTTTATGTCAATATTCATTTATTTTTCACTATATGAGAAAGAATCACACCTATTCAAAAATCATGAAAACTTTTTTTATTTTGCAATTTTATTGATATGGAATACGGAGTATTTGATAAAAAATAAAATGTTTTTCACATCTCATTTTGTAAATTTTATTACGTAATTCTTGAATATATAAATTATATTTTTAATTTTCAATTCAATCTTTAAATAAAATAAATTTACACATAAAGTAAAAAAACATTTTTGGGACAGGGAAAGAAATCAAAGAATTGAATGGAGAGATTACAAAATATGATTAGGTCCAAATTCCCTGTGAACCGGTGCACTGATGCCGCATCATACCAAGAAATTTGTCGTTTATAGATTTAACTGGATACACATGGGATGCCACGCTACATTGACTTGCCTTAAACTCTAATTATTAATTACAATAAATTTTTACGGATTATTACCTCCCTTCCATAGTAGAAAATGCTAGAGTCACAAACATATAGTTCACAAACTTCACAAACTTACCTTTTGTAGATTTTAAATTAAAATATCTTTTATTATTTGAGTGGATCTTATTTCTAGGAAAGTGTTAAAAATGCAAGTTTGTGAATTCCTCTTCTGCAACGGAAAAATTTCGTGGCAGAATCTAATTTTCCGTGGCAGATTTCTATTTTGCGACGGATCTGCCACGAAATCGTTCCGTCGCAGAAAAGTTGTGGCAGATTCAAAATCTGTGACGGACTTTAAAATCCGTGGCAGATTTGCGACGGAACTGCAACGGGGTTTTCATTTTTTCCATCCAGCAAAATCTGCGACGGATATAGAAAACCGTCGCAGATCTGCGACGGCATTAGCAACGGAATCCTCCGTCGCAGATCAGCGACACATGTAGCGACGGTCAGTCCGTCGCAGATGACCTGGGAACCAGAATTTTGCTGTTTTCAACACTACCTATTACAATGGGGTGTGTGGGGGGCAAAACGCATTCAATCTTCACACATATAATTCCAAACAAGATTTCAAACACCCAAATTGCTAATTCAAATCTAGCTTAATGCAAACTTCAAATGCGAATGTAGCATAATTCAATATGTTCTAACAACAAATATTAAAATGTTAGTGTCAAGTGTTTAAAATGGAGGAAGCTAAGGTCGTAAATGTCTCAACAAATCCCGGGCTGCCCTGCCCCTCCTGTTCCATCATCATCACCTCGTCGAGGAAGGTTACCACCATATAGCTTCCTTAGCTCCTCTTGAATCGTCAGTGACAAGTTCGAGGTTAGACTATCAATTTGTTCCTGCAACCTTTGGTTTTGCTCTTTGAGTGCTGATATCTCCGCTGTGCTTCTACTACTCGTGCT